CATAAACAATTGATAAGGCCCTAGAGGTCTAATATATTTTTTAAAGCATTTTAGATAAAATAAAGGGTTTTTCCCACGCTTTTCTCTCTAATATAGAAATAGTTGTATATATAACCATATTTTAAAAATTTTAATCTTAAGTATCCTAAATACTTCAAATGTAAATAATTGCTTCAGCAATTATCTTTATTACATTGTTAAAAGTGTAAGAAATATAAACCGATGCAAACCCATAACAATTATGTTGAAAGATTTGTAATAAGATAAATGTTTGTACCCTTGCAAATTTGCAAAAGGGCCAATAATTATGTTTGTAAATAAAGTTATTTTTGAATATTTTTTTTTGTCTAGTAAACAGGAGATCGGGAGTTCGAATCTCCCCGGGGCCTAGCAAATGACATATCATCATAGCAATTATTTTAAAATGATATAAGCTTTAATAATGTTGAAACATATTTAAGATATATCTGAAAATACAAGCAGTCGTGGCCGAGCGGTTAAGGCGTCTGACTAGAAATCAGATTCCCTCTGGGAGCGTAGGTTCGAATCCTACCGACTGCGGTGCTACATTTTAAAAACAAATTTAATGCAGGATAAAAAAGTATTTCTAGAATTTGAAGGTAATTATACAACACCATAATATGCATTTCAATGATAAATAGCATATTGCAAGAAATTTATATCATGGAAAAGTGCGTTGTATTTCGAGCGAAAACATGCAAGAGCTCTCGCTCATGCTATAATTGAGGTACATAGGTACCTGGCGTCTCCACTTGTGAGAGCTAACTTGATGAATACTAGGCGCCTTCTCATTTTAGTGATATATACTACAAACATATTAAATGAGACATAAAATAGATATCATTAAGATACTTGAAGATATTAGTTTCCGTGGTGCACTGGTTAGCACACATATTGTTAAAAGTGTAAGAAATATAAACCTAAAACAACTATGTTGAGAGATTTGTAATAAGATAAATGTTTGTGCCCTTGCAAATTGAAAAAAGGTTAATAATTATGTATGTAAATAAAGTTATTTTTTAATTTGAATCCGCCTAACACACGGAAGGTCCCCGGTTCGATCCCGGGCGGAAACAATTTTGATATAAACAAATGATATCAATAATTATTTAGATCATGGGAGCGTAGCTCAGATGGTAGAGCGTTTGCTTAACGAGTTCCAGGGAGCCTGCACATGATAGGGCAAAACTAGTCTTTTTATTTTTAGTTGGTATTAACTTCTTGCCTGTGTTTAGAGAGAAGATTTTTAGTGATTTTTAGAGCGTTCGAAACCACTTGGAGTTATTTCAAATCTTTACTCCCGTTTTACGATTACAAAAATTTTTCAAGTTATCCGTGATTATCCGTAAGTTTATTTATTTTTCCCATTTTTATTTCGCTATTGTCAAAAAGTAAGTAACATTTTTATTATTCTTTTTATATGTATATGTATGGTTTCTAATAGTTTCTAAGTGACAAAAAATTAAATCTCTTACCACCTGGGAAAATTTCTCTGTTAAATGGCTCCACTAAGTAAGATGCAGAAGAGATTAGCGAGCGAAATTGAGACTGAAAACCAGCCAATTCCTTTATCAAATAGCTACGCCATACTATTCAATATGAAGGAAAATGAAAACCCCATGGAAAGAAATGGATACCGGACCAATAAAGAAGAACAAAAAACAAGAAAAAGTTTAATTTGCAGTATACCATCAGGATGTAAGAGAACTAGTACTAGGGGAAGAAACTTTAGATGAAGAAGAACTGATGGAATTAATTGATGCATCCACCTCAAATGCACTGGTAAACGAAATTAAGGAAAACAAAAGGGTGCCAAATCTCGATTTACAAGATGTGAAAAAAGGTCTAAATTTGGCTAAAAAATTAGAACTTCATTTCATTCAAACTAACCGTTCAACGGTGCGCAGCGCAAAGTTTAAAAGAGAGTTAAGAAATTGCCTAGCTCCCTATATAAAGGTTTTAGTGGAGTTAGAAAAAAAAAGCTACAATCGAAAACCAATGTGAAGATGAACTAAGTGATGAAGACATTTTGCCAATTAAAAGAATACGAATTAGGCGACTCATATCTGACAGCGAGGATGAGTGTTGAAAATTACATATTTTTACAAAAGTCTTCATTGTTTTTGTTGAAAAAAACAGTCTTTTAATTTAGTTCTTGTTTCATTTTTTTATCAATCCTTATATGAACTCTTCAATTCAATTCAATAAAAATAATTTATAATTTATCTTTTGTATTTATTGGTCTCCATATAACGCGGTACGAATGATGTGATTTGTACTAATTCCGAGTTTCTTATAGGGCGGTTTCCATACAACGCGGTAGACGGTTTCCATAGAACACGCTACGAAATAGCCTGGTTTGTACGGTTAAATCCGAGTTTCTTATAGCGCGATTTCCATATAACGCGGTACGCACTCACCGCGTTATATGCCGCATCTATTTGGCAGGACCGGTATCGGATCAGGGAGAAGAAAAGGCTACTTTGTGCACAAAGGGTCTGTGCTATTAGGACGACAAAAACTTATAAAACCGTATCAACGGAAGCGGAGTTAATAGTGACAGTGTTGCTGCCAGTGGATCCAGGGATCGTGTAAAAATAATCTGTATAAAAACAGATTTCACTAATAATTTAAGCAATCACATATTGTATAAATTAACAAAAGTATGTTTTAATATTTATTTCACTTTTGCTGCTTTTGTGTTTGTTTTCTTCCTCTAATTAAACCGAATTAAATTATATTTGATATTTTACTCATACAAATGGCTGCTTTAAGTTGTTTAATATATGTATGTTAAAATTATTTTTATCTTAATAAAAATGTTCAATAAATATTTTTCGTCAAAATATGTTTCCATTCGTAGTGAATCACTCGACACCTGTAATTTTGTTTAGAACATAAATCTGATCGGATACAGATATATTTGAGTTACTTTTGTAATTTTAAATAAAGTCTAGAAATAAAATCTCTATAAACAATTGATAAAAAGACTATCTGGTTAAATAAGAATGTTTTGGGCGGAAAGACTTAGGTCTTAGCCCTTTGGTTACAATTGTCACTAATAAAAACTATTATTATTAAAAATGTTACAATATTTCTGCACGAGTCGCCGCACCAGAATCGATCTCGAAATAACCAACAATGAAACAAGCTCCCAATTAAACAATAACATGATCAACCTAATATTCCTCTACACAACCCTTCTAATAATCTCCTTTACTCCAAAACCAAAATAGTCTGTCTCCTTGACCGATACCTTAACCTCTCCTTGAAATATAATTCCAAACAATCCAACATCCACTCCCTATTTAAATATTATGCCCCTCGAAACCCAATAATAATCATTAGCAGAAACTAATTTTGTTATGAAAAAAATAAGAATCACTTTTTAATATTTTTTTTACCATATTGAAAAAGAAAAATATATAAATTAATAATATTAAAAACATTTAAATCTGTTTGGAATACAATTATAAATATAAACATAAGGTAATCTTACTTATAAAAATTCCTTTTATATTTATATTTGGAATATTTTAATTGGTAAAGGTTCTCATAACCCCAAATAATTCAATTTGCTTTTCCAACTCCCAAAGGAATTTATATTTATTTTGCACAAATTTTCAAAGTATTATAATTAATGTATAAACATAATATTCATTTTTCAAAAGTACAATGATATAGCAAACAAGTATAAAATAATGAATAGACAAAAATATTGGTATAATATCATATAATTATTACTTCCCAATAATCAACGAAGAACACAAAATATATAAATTTTATTTTTTATTGTAACTAATATATATATAACATTGACAATATTAACAAAATATTGGAAATAAATCAATTATTTCATCCACAATACCACAATCTACCATTTACATTAAATGTATTCTGATCCCTATTGATAATCTCTTGGATATCTTGCAAAGTCTGCTCCTGGTCCTGATCAAAGATGGTTTTATGTTCGTTTTCTTGAGAATTCAAATTGAAATTACTAAAATACTGATGAATATTTTCCGTATTTGAAATTTGCTGATGGTGATCAATAGAATTCGGTGCTAATTGATGATGAAAACTATGGTTAATAGGTATTATACTATTAACTTGTTGTCTGCAAATATTGTGAGAGAAATCAGAACCATATGGATATTGCAAAAAGTTCTTGATTTGTTGTATGTTTAGCTGATCCGATTCGATTCTGCACTTCGCTTTCGGTCTCATACCCTCACAACTATTACTTGCAGAAGCAGTTCGTCTTCTGGTCTTCGTATTTGAAGCCGACGGATTAATAATCCACCAAGAAGGCTTCGCTTGCACTTCGTTCTGCATCTTCATAAAACGGTTGTGCAAAGATAAATTGTGCCTTACCGAATTCTTCCAACCAGCTGAAGACTTACTGTCCGTCCTTTGATTAAAATAAGGTACATTATATATAATCCATTCGTAGATCTGTGCCAGAGTCATGCGACCTTCGGGTGATGAATATATCGCATCAGTTATTAATTCTGCGTAGCTTCGGTTTCCCCACGGATTTTTTCGTCCCCCATTCTTCTGCATCTCGTTCTTCGGATTCTGGAACACTTCGCCATTGATATGAGGTTGCTGCTGCAACGGCCACGTATTGCATCTTCCTCTGGAAATATATTCTTCATGGTTAAAAGCCTCCATTGTATTTTAACAACTTCAAATATATTCACATATAGACTTAAAAATTGCGAGTGATAAGTTTGCAAAAACTGTTCAGCTTCTTATACTTATTTGTACCCCCTTATATTGTTACGATGTGGAGTGGGGGTGGTACCGAAAGACATACTTTCGTAAACAACTTAATCACTCTTTCATTGTATTGTCATAGTTATTTTACAATTAACATTTTTTTTATTATACACTTATAAAATATCTTTAGAATAATTTTGTTTTTATATTTCTTTGTTTAATTTTATTTTCAATATTACTACATTAAAAAAAATGTTAATTGAACACAGCTACAATTTTCCATCTGGACTGCAGTGAATCCTGACTGATCGAAACTGCACTATTCTAAGTATTCAAGACAAAATATCGCTTGACATAAAATGATAACTGCGAGAATTGAAGACTTAAAGAAAAGTGCATAGTTTATGCAGATCTTAAATCAAAATATAAAGAGCTTGTTCTTTATGAATATATCATAATATAGGAAGTACGAGTACCGCATCGTTAATTCAGGTAGTATATAAAAAATAAGCTGCAAATTAATCAATTAATCAACGTGTAAAGCATATCAAGGAGATTATAAACTATTTAGATTGAAAAATCAAACATTATCCCATATAAATTAATGTAAAATATGATAATGGTTAAAAAATAATAAAAATAAAATATGTATAGAAGAAGAAATAATAAATAATATGTCCGAACACGAGTTTGGAAAACGGTATATTATAACAGGCGTATTATTGAATATTCAGTTATAAAAAATATAAACTTTTCAATTTGAGATGTGACAATCTTGTTTGTTTAAGATCAAACTATTATATTAAGAATTATTTACATATATGTAATGTCATAATGAAAACAGCTTGAATATGCAATTTTTATAATGTTTAACAAATATAAATACTAAATTATTGTAAAGATATTTTATATGTGTATATTAAAATTTTGCTAATAGCAAAATAACCATGTCAATAAAAAGATGATTATGTTGTTTAGGTCAGTTCTTCTTTCGGTACTATAAGTATAAGAAGCTGAACAGTTTTTGCAAACTTATCACTCGCAATTATTAATTAATAACAACTGCAAAGTGTTCCAGAAGCCTATGAACGAGAGACAGAAGAATACGAAAACCAGACGACGTACAACTTCCGCAAGTAATGATTGTGAGGGTATGAGACCGAAAGCGAAGTGTAGAATCGAATAAGATTAGATAAATATACAACAAATTTCCATACGGTTCTGGTATTAAAGATTTCTCTCACAATTTCTGCACGCAATAACAAGTTTATAATAATATACCTATTGAACAGAGTTGGTATCATTAATTAGAACCGGATTATATTGATGCTCAACAGCAAATTACAAATTCGGAAAATAACCATCATTTTTTTACTAATGTGAATGTAAATTGTCAAAAAAAAACGATAATGATACGATCTTTGATTAAAATGAGATGCAGACTTTGGAAGACATCTTTGGAAGTTTCCCATACATACACAGTGAAGTGAGTGTTTGCTTGACTCCATTTGTTTATATTACTTGTATCAATCCGGGGTCTTTGTGAAGGTCTCTTTATAATTTTTATGCTTGTTTATAAAATATCATGTAAATAGATTTAATAAACATTTTGAATTTAATTAGTCTGTGATTTTGGGGTAAAAAAAAATCGACCTATGTTTCTTAACCTGCAAGTTTCTTTTTGTGCTTTCTGTTTTAATAAAGTTTTTAAGTACTTGATTACTCCATTTTCAAATAGTGCGCAACTATCACCTATTGTATGAGAACGACATTTTAATGCTGGGTAATTAATTAAGAAAGCTTACTTGGATAATTACATAATAAATATTATACAACTCTCACAACATACAAACATAATATAATAACATTTTTTAATGACTTTTTAATAAATCAAGTAACAACACGTTTTATGAAAAATACATTATATTTATTTCATTTCATTTTGCTTTATCAAGAAAAATATATTAGCATTAGTTTGGGTTAATATTTGTTATTTTTGACCATGCCTAAATCTATGTTTAAATATCTTTTATAATTTTTATAAGATATATATTGTTCCACTTAGACCTACAATAATAAATTAATTTTATATTTGGCGCTGAAAGTTCTATGGTCAATATGTTTTCTATTTTTAGTTATAAAAAATTAATGGCACTACACTATTCACTACAAATATACAAATTCAATATAAAATAAATAGAAAAATAACAATAATATTAGAAAAAAATACATATAAAAATAAAACATTTAACACATATATAGGTTTTTCTGCACTAAACTTTATTATTAGTCACAATTTCTGCCCGGAGAGTATTGTTAAATTTTACATATCAAATAATAATATACCGCACATAAGAAAAAAATACTTCGGAGGTAGCGGAAACGTTTGAACTTTTAATTTTCCGAATTGGTTTAACAAAATTATTTTTTTGCTTGTCATAACAATATTATTATTATTTGATATAAGAAGACAATAAAGTATTTTTAATCAACTAATTATACTACACCTGGATATGATTATCGATAAAAATGATAATATATTTCTGCAATGATCATTAAAAAGAAAAGAAAATATAAATATATTTTGATTTAATATTTTATTGTAATTAGTACACACATTTTGTATTTATTTTTTGGCGTGTAATTACATTCACAATCTGTTCATCAATGTGAACATTGAGCAAATATAAGATCGCAGTTGACATTAGGTAAGTAATCTTTCCCGGTGGATAGTTACCATTATGATGATTTTTAATTTTTAATTTGTAGGTTAATTTTAGTAGTATATTGTTGCTCTGCGATTCCAATATTTCCTTTCACTGTGAATCTGCTTCTATCCTTAACACTGTAATTGTCCATCGACTTGGCTGAAGGTCCAATTGCTGAACCTCATTCATTTCACTGTCCATCTGTGATAATCGATGGTCCTATTGCTGCAAGCATCGAGAGGGCTCACAAAGGGCCTGTGCCCACTAGCTCGTAGGTAGGGCGACTTAACCATTCTGCTATTAGTCGACCAGTCCACACATAACATTAACTTTTGAAAGTAGAAATATTATAACTAAATATTTTTTCTAAATCATCCACAATTCTTATTGTGACAGTTAGGTTTGAATGTATTCTGATCGATATTAATAATCTCTTCAATGTCTTGTAAAGTCTGAATCTGATTTTGTTCAAAGATCGTATAGTTATGGTTTTGTAGGATGTTTATTTTAAAACTACCGAAAACCTCATGGATATTTTCCGAATTTCTAATTTGGTGTTATACAAAAATAGTATTCGGTGCTACTTAATGATGCCAATTTTCATTAATAGGTATACTATTAAATTGTTGTTGCTGTGTGTAGAAATTGTGAGAGATATCTTCAGAACTATATGGAGATAGCAAAAAATTCTTAATTTGTTGTATGTTTATCTGACCTGAATCGATTCTACACTTCGCTTTCGGTCTCAAACCCATACAATTATTAGTGACAGAAGCTGTACGTCTTCTAGTCTTCCCATTTGGGTCCGACGGATAATCCACTAGGAAAGCCTTCCTTTGCACTTCGTTCTGCATTTTCATGAAACGGTTGTGCAATGATAAATTGTGTCTTACCGAATTCTTCGAACCATTCGTAAATATGCGCCAGTCATGCCACGTTCGGGTGATAAATATATCGTCTCAGGTATTAACTCGGCGTAGCTTCGGTTTCCCCATTTATTATTCCGGTATCCATATTTCTGCATCTCTTTCTTCGGCTTCTGGACTACATCAGCATAGTTTGAAGGTTGTTGTATCGGCCACGTATTGCATCTTGCTCTGGGAATATTTTCTTCATTGCAAAAAATTTCCATTATTTTAAGTACTTAAGATATTTACAAAAACAATCTTCAATTTAGACTGAGATATTTGCAAAAGCCGTGTTTACAACTCATTTTTTTAAATTACAAAAATATCTTTCAAGAATTTATATGTGATAATGGTCTATATTAGTACTGAAAAATTATTAATTTCTATATAATACAGTGAAACTACTCTAAAATCTAAATCAATTAAAGGTTTCAATGAAATTGCCTAATATAGAATCGTTTGCTAAATTGTCTTTCAATATTTATGTTTCTTTCTATTTAAGTTTTATAGTTTTCAATTCATATTATTTTGTTTTGTTGTAACCATAATATAATATTAATACAAATTTAAAAAAAAACTTTTTTATTGGCCAGAGTGTAACCTACCAGGTGCGCGTCTTCCTTCTAGAGACTTCCACATGAGGGCTTGTTCTATAGAACAAGCACTTCCCGGCAGTAGAGAGCATTCCACCGCCTCCTATGTCCGTGCATTACGCCAGGTATCAATAATTCACGCATGCAACAGACGCATGTCCCAACAAATCCAAGTACTCCAAAAAACAATCTCAATCATAAATTCCTCTCTGTTAGATTAGTTTTGCACAATGTTCGTAATTTCTCATATTAATACGAATTGCATTTCTTATATGTAAATACCTTGAGTAAATATTTTACTAGAATAACCTTCCTTTGGAACGTGTTTTAACATTGTACTTATTAACATATATAGTCACTGATAGTCATTCTGAGTATGCGGCTACTAGCATCGGACCTCTCCGGCGTCATTTCATTTTACTCCACCTGAGCTCAATTATTATTTTGCTTATAAATATTTCTTTTGTTTTGTGTATCGTTTTACAGATTTCACAAAATCTGCTATCTGATACAAACGCCTAACATAAGACAGAATGGAATGGAGACTCAATATGGAATCCCGTTTCTCCGAGGAATATCAAGACAAATTAACAAAGACCCTGAAGGACGTCCTGAAGAGGAACGCCTAAACAACAAAAATAAAGATAATGCCAATATTCAAGGTAATTTATATTGTCATAATTCTTCTTGAATTGGTTTTAATTGTTGTTTTATTGCAGATAATCGTGCTACCGCAAGCATAT